CTGATGTAATAAAATACAGTAATGGAAAAGCTCAATGAGTGAATGGTCTCCTCCTGTTCCTGTTGCAATGTAGCGATCTACATTGGTAGGTCGCGAGCAGTACAGAAAATCACCTTGAAGATAAGTAAATGACTCCTTTGTGTTGAGAAGGATCATCCAGTATAAAATATTTTGACCATTATTCCTCAATGTCAAGATAACATTAGTTTTATTAATGAAAACAATGAAAATGGTTTATATTATATCATTGCTTGAAACTAAAAAGAATGCCAATAGTCACTGCTAAAGCTCATGCATGAAAAATCACCACCATAAACGAGATATTGAGGGTTGATGGCATTTCTGGAACCATATCCAGGAATGAGTGTTACGTTCAGACTTTCTGTAACAGAATACAACCAGTTTCAGTACTTTCAACTTTGTATTTAAATAGTATTTTATTTCACTATCCTTCAGAATCAGCATGGTAAATGTTATGATCAAACACAACTTGCAATGCAAACTAAGAAAACAATAATTGACTTCATAATATTGAGCAAAATGGAATCAAAACACTATGCAACACAATTTTCCAAGCAATCATGTGATATGGAATCAGCAAAGACTTTTGTATAATGTAAAGCAAAGTGATAACACAATGCAAAGTGGGATTTTTATTATGAAATTCATAAATTTTGAATGCGATACAACTAAAATAGGGCAAGCTGCACAATCTCACACAATATGTACGCAAATTGAAATGAGTCCTTTCATAAATATACATATTTTAATTGCATATTAACTTCATAGTGAATGAAGGAAGGAATTATTATTCACATTGTGTCATTTGGTGTGTTGATAGGAATCAGTAATGTAAAAAAGATTTAATGAGCAATTTATAGGATAAAATGACTAACTGATGAAAGTTTAATGAAACCCATATAAATTAGTCATTGTATATTCCTCCAGTTTATTAGGATTTCTATGGCTGTGTTATAAACTGAGTGACAAGTGTATGTGTCTGAGTTTTCAAGACCTCAGACACAAGTGGCCTCCACTCATTTTTCTGCATTAGTCTCATAAGCTGTAAAGCCTGTCTTACTATCTGGGACATTCCCCACAGCAATTACATCGGTGGCATTCCACAAAACCAATTATTATTTCCAGCAAATTAACTGATAATAAATTAGAATGTGTTTTTATTTGTAAATCAGCATAATGGAATTTAGTGTCCTGTGCAGTAAAAGTAAAATGGTGAATATATTTATTAAATGAACGAAAGCAAAAATATCAGAACAAGATTACATTCATAGTTTGTTTTTAAATTCACCCTATTTTGAGAAGAAATACTGCTGTAATTTGTTCTTGTGGAAACTTGACATAATACAATCAATACAAAATTACATTTGTAAAGCTCTTTTCAGGTCGGGAGGACGTCCCAAGGAGCTAAACAGTCAGGGATTAGGACCCGAGCGGGGATCAGGGAGGATGGAGGGTGCACGTAGGAGGATGGCCGAATGCACGGGACGCAAACAGCCATGAAGCGAATCACGAATTTTATCTGGAATTGTTGGCCAGGACATGGGGAGAAACTCCCTTCTCTTTTTAAATAGTGGTAACTATTTGAATTCGAGGTCAAAAAGGAAGATTTTGAGGTTACATTTATAGAGAAGGGAAATTATTTAAATGCCTGTAAAAGAAAGCAAAATCTGAATAACTGCTAGAATGTGTCAAACCATTCCAAAGAGCATTCACTAACAGAAATGAAATTCAATACCGTGTACTATATCCTATTTTTTCCTCCATTATCTAAAACAGTCAAAAATATTCCCAAACCCCTCTTAAATTTGCCTATACTATATATATTTTTTAAAAGACTAATTTTGAAGGAGGTGAGTGGAGAAATGAGTCATTCACTCCAGGATGTTGTTCCAGGGAGTGGGGGCAAACAGGCTGAATTCTGACCACCGTTGGTGGGGATATGAAGCAGGCTGAGCAGAGGGAGCGATCAGGTTGTACAATTTCATTTGACTTAAGAAAGTCACAGAGTTATGGTGGGGCAAGACCAGGGAGGTATTTAAACGTTAGGACGAGGATTTTGAACTCAATCTCCTGGGAAATGGGGGTGATAAACTTGTGGAGCCAAGTGTGGGAATAACTCAGCTAGCACCAAATGGCTATGCAGATAGTGTAAAGATTCCTAGGTGTAGATCCAGAGCACATTTTAATTCCCTCGCCAGCACTGCCCACATCATTTCATGAAGACTAATACAGGGCTCTGATTAATGATCAGATTGAGTTTCTAAATCCACCACTGTCTGCATCACCGCATAATGACAGATACCAGGTGTTCAGACTAATCCCAGACACATGCATTATTCAGCAGTGAAGAAATTCATTGCTGCTTAGCTTTGAAGAAGTAAAGGAAGTGACCTTTTCGCAAGGGTGATGTGGATGCAGAGTTTGGTATGGATGAGGATATGGTTCATGGATTTTTGGATCAATTGGACTTTGTGAATACAAATTTCGAAAGTAAGATACAATTATTTTATTACACAATATATATATACATATTATATGTACATATGTATTATATACAGTAAACTTCTGATAACTCAACCCTGGCGTAACTTGTCACCACCACTTCAGTCATTATGCTGCTAATATCTCAGTCACATTTATTTATACATATGCCTAACTCGCAACTCCCGGATAATTCGTCACTGAGCCCTTTTCACTGAACAACATCCTGGAGCGACAAATCATCAGGAGCTTACAGTATATTCAGTTATCAGTTGACTTTGTTAACTCAACTAGTATGTGAGGTGGGAGGCGCCACCCTGGTGACTCACGTCCTAGTTGGGTTAACAAAGGGCAACTGATAACTGTGGAGCCTTCCACCAGTAGAAGGGAAATTATTTAAATGCCTGTAAAAAGAAAAATCAGAAAAACTGCTAGCATGTATCAAAACATTACGAGAGCATTCACGAGCAGAAATGAAATACTATACTATATATTCTATCTTTTCCTCTATTCTCTAAAACAGTCAAAAATATGCCCAATCTCTCTTAAATTTGTCCATTCCTATATATATGTTTTTTTTAAAAAGTTGAATATTTGAGAGATGTCAGCGGGTTTGAGGTTTTGGCATCTAATGCAAACATCAAAGCCTCCTAGGTCAGATCTTGCCTTTCAAATGAAATGTTGAACCAAGGTCTTATTTGCTTTCTTTTGGTGGCTCAGGGTCAGGTGGATATTACAGATCCTAGGGTATTATTTGAATGAGTTACTGGACAGAGGGAAAAACAGTACCAGTGACCATACATTCTAGTAGAAGGAAAAGGGAATTAAAATGCAGTCAGCAAATGAGGGAAGATAAATTCTGAGTCACATTTAAAACAATAGTAAATGTAAGTAATTGAGTGATTAAATTCAATCAATTAAGATCTATTTCTAATGAATTTCACACCTAATCACAGAAGCTGTATCAGTACAGTACATATGTACACACTTTTTATAATAGTATTGAAAGGCAATATCTTCATACACCTTTATTTAATCAGAGGGGGAAGAAGGGCCAGAGAATCGAGGAACAATTGGTGACAATGGCGAAAGTGATGCATTATTTTAAGATGTACATGGTTGTATCATAAGTTTGTAAAGAAACAAAGCATGTTCACCAGTTTTTCATTAGGTTAGACCCAGTTCTGACGAAGGGTCGTGGACCCAAAACGTTGACCCACTTTCCTTTTCCCATAGATGCTGCCTGACCTGCTGAGTGCTCCCAGCAACTTCTGTTTTTGTTTCAGATTTCCAGCATCTACAGTATTTTGCGTTTCATTAAGTTAATGTCACTTTACAAAATCGGTTTATACTGTATTAACTACATGTTTAGTTCTTGATGTTCGAATATATTCCTCTCAGTAACTGCATTACTTACAATGTTCACTAGATGGCTCCAAAAGTCTGTTTGGAAGCAGCTTAAAATGAAATTTCAGTCTGAAGATTTGTAATCAAATTCTGCTTGGTTTAACTACCTTTTATATGCTGTATGCTAACACAGCACTAAAAAAGTAAAGCCAGAACAATACTTTAGGTTGCTTAGAGGAAACAGATTTAGAGTCGTAAAGAACAATTTCAGGGTAGATACTAGGACGTTTTTCTTTAACCAAAGAGTATTTAACAACTGGAACACGTTGCCAGAAAAGGTGGTAGAGGCCAGGACACGAGACTCATTTAAAAAGCAGCTTGATGCAGGATGATAGAGTGCGTGTTCTTGAGGGATGAGATTCAATGGGCCGAAGGCATTTTCAACATTGATTTTAACCACTTCAGATCTTAAAGACAGCTCCATCATCTTCTCTTGGCCTTGCCTCCCCCTCTTTTATAACCATTCACACATCCTCTGGGTCTCAGACATCTTTTCTTTCTATAATCTCACACTATTGCCTTTTTTTGTCTTGCACCATGAACACCTCTAATCTCATCATCTTCTGTCCTCCACCTAAATTTTTTCTTGGTTTTTCTTTCCCCACCCCCTTCTCTGCTTGTCCTGATAAATTGCTCCCTTCCAACATCCCCCAGTTCTAACGAAAGGTCATCGACCTGAAACATTAACTCACTTTCCTCTCTCCATAGATACCTGCTGCTTGTTCCCAGCGACTTCTGTTTTTATTTCAGATTTCCAGCATCTGTAATATTTTGCCTTTCATGGTATCTTTAACATGCGCTTGAACAGCAGATGGGACCTCAGTTTAACAACTCATCCAAAGGAAGGCACCTCCAACAATGCCACAGTCCCCCAGCATTGCATTGGAGTGTCAAACTGGACGATGAGTTCAAAGTCGCAACGTGGGCTTGAACCCAAAATCTTCTGACTCAGAAGTAAAAGTGCTACCAACTGAGCCTGGCTGACACTTCTCTAAACCCCAGTACAGAGTAGTTGACCTAGTGGTCAAATTGCTTATTTCCGTGCTGTAACATTATATGTAATTCTATGTAGTAAAAACAATTAACTTTTGCATTGTAAAAGAGTTTTAGTTTTAATTGATTGTATTCACTACTTTATAAATGTTTGAAAGACCAAATCAGTACAGTAACCATACAGTCCACAATGTTTTCATTCAATAATGATTAGGTAGTTCAGTACAACTTATAATGGGAAATAGAAAAAAAAGTGTTTGTAAGTGAAACTCAATCAGATACATGGAAAAAGATACATATTACATGATATAAAGAATTATACATTATGCATCGTAATCAAAGCACTTCATAGTGTAAAGTGTAGAGACTGTCATTTCGAGGCAAACATGAAAGGAAATTAAAACTTCTACAATTCTTCATTTAGTTTCTCTAATTTTGCTTCAAATCGCTTTCTACTGTACTCCAAAATAGAGATGCCCTGATCTTCAAAGTTATATCTAACCTTTGCTAACTTATTTAGACGACTTTTCAAAGTGGCCACACTACATTCCAATACCCTTGGTGACTTCAGTATTTGTTCAATACATATTGTATCTTCTAGGAGACAATCGATTTTATTGGAAAGATTGTCAGATGAGACATAGAGTCCCGGAGGATACGTAGTAAAAAACTTCCTGATCTCCTCATCTGTACAATCTAGTAATCGCAATTTTTTAGCTGCATTATTGAAATTTACTGTAATGTAGTGATTGGAGAGGTCCAAAAGATCAGCACCTTGGCCTTGAAGAAGCTTTAAGATGGTATCATTAGTCAGTTTAAGAGATTCTTTGAGAAATTCAATGTTGGATTTGACCCGTTTAGTGCTTCGTATAAGTATGTACACATTCTTGGTAATGATCCGTTTAACAAAATCATTGGGATCATCACCACCTAAACACACACAGAGTTCTTGCAGAAACTCCACCATCTGCTTGTTCAGCTCCAAGCTATTGGAGAATGTGCGGGGGGCAGTTGTGAACATGCGATGCAAGTCCTTTGCTGTCAGACCAAGCGAACAAAGAAAATTTATGTTCTTTTCTAGATTCTCATTGTCACTTGAACGAAAATAGGACTCTGGGGAACGTTCGACAATCTTTATAATGTCTGAGTCTACCTTAAATATGTTTCTCCACAACTGCCACCTTTCTTCCAGGTGGCAAATGGAACGCGTGATGGCTCGGGGGTACCGTGAAATGATACTGGCAATTGTCTTGTGATCAGCTCCTTTGTTTCTCAAGAACTGTACAAGTCCTTTTTCGTTTGTTGTCTCCCTTCTCAAAACTCCCGGCTGCCTTTTTCTTGCCATTTTTATGTCCACACCCAAGAAAGACAAATTGTTTAACAGAATCCGATTCTCTGGCCTTTTGGTGCTCTTGGTTGGGTCATTCTGAATGGCAGTGCAGAATCTCAGGCAAGATATTTTCAACAGTGCAGCAGGAAGCCCATTTTGTGGAAAATGGTAAATCCTTGTTTTATGCAGGTATATGTGCATGGCTTGCAGCACTCGTCTCGGTGTCATGTCTCTCTGATACCAATGGTGCCTCAGCTCCTTCAGACCTACATGGATGGAAACCAACAAGTTACAGGTGTTTATAATCCACTTGCAAGGTGACCAAAAAGCCGTGGCACCATTACAATGTCTAATACGTCTTAAAGAAATGAAGATATATGTTTTTTTAGATAATAGGGTAGCTTCACAACTTTTTAGTTAACCAGTAGTTGCTACTATGAATGTTTCCAAAGTCCCACTTCCAAGACACCCCTCAGCCCTCGCCCCAGACACCCCTCGGCGCTATATAAGTGCAAGTTGTTGTTGTAGACAACCCTCTGAGAGCGCAATAAAGACATCTGCAGGTTCAACAGATCTAGAGTTATTCTATGAACCTGGCATTTCAGAGCATCTCAGAAAGGCCCATCAATAATAATCCTTGAATGTAATTTAGTGCCTTATCACATTGTCAGGATGTCTCAAAGCGCTTCACAGAGTTTACTCTAAAGTGGATTGATTGTGTATTTTGTGGGTGAAACGCGGCCAAGTTTGCCCACAAAATACAGTTACACCACTTTGAGAATTCTCTACGACATGCTAAGACGTTGTCGAGACATAATAATATATCAAACGCAAGGATTATTATATAGGGCATCAGTTTCTCTATCATTAGATTCCAAATATGGTACTTTTAATTAAACATCAGCAGTCCAAAATACCTAGGCTTAAAATATACATATAATAATAAAATAATTATTATTTTGATTATTTTTTCCTCTCTTGTTTTCCAAATCGCATCATAATAGGAACCACCCAAGACACAGGGATATTGTCATTAGCTGGTGAGGGTGTGGGGGAATCTGCTTTGTTTACCTGCAGCCACGGCAACGCAATCACTAGACTTTGGAAATAGAGTGGGAGGTTAGTGCAAAGCAGATTTTTTTTTACTGAACAGCAAACCAGGAAACAAACAGCGTACTAATAACCATACGCATTGTGTACAGTGAGGGAGCAGTAACACTAGAAAATATTATTGAAAGGAAAATTACCATATGGAGAAACAAAGAGAGACAACTAGATTTTCTAGTTTGATTTTGTTTTGCTGGGGGGGAGGGGGTTCTTTTTAAATGGGCAGTTATATATAAAACTGGCTTTGTTTCTCATGTCAACATTTTTTCCAATAGCACCTTTAAAAATTGTCACAAATTGAATTATCATATACAATTTACAACATACAATAGAACCATAGAAATTTACACCACAAAAGGCTCCATCTTGTCTGTGCTGACTCTTTTAAGAGTAATCCTTTCAGTCCCATTGACCGGCTTTTCTCCATACCCCGAAATTCCTGGTTTTACATTCTATACCACTATTTATAAAATTTACAATTCCATTTACTTTCTTGACAGCTTTGTCCACACACCTTCAATCTTTAAGGATTTATGTTCATCTAGGATCGTCTGCTATTTCCAATTTTAAAATCTTACCACTTGCTCTCCTTATTCTTATCAAAATGTATAACCCCACATTTGTCTGCATTACATTTCAATTGCCATGTTTCTTACTTCCGTTGCCAAACATGTCACCTCAGAGCTGAACTGGCTTAAAAAAAAATTCAAATTGCATTAAAGTTTTTTTTCAAAATTGTAATTTCGCCACTCCACCGCTTTGTAAATTTAAATTGACTTTGAGTGTAATACTATTTTACAAGAACAGTTTTGAATAATAACATTTGTTCTATGTTTTAGTGTGCTGCATTCACTAAGAAACAAATTCCTGAAAATGGAGGGCATTTCGAAAATTTCAAGTCACCCTACCAGATTTAAGCATCTATCTGTCAGTACTTTCAGTTCCTCTTCTGATATGACACATTTACAGGAAGACAGTATTAAAAATATGATCAGTGACCCTGATATTGAAGAATTAAATCTTCAAGGAAAAAATCTGACCGCATTTCCATCTGTAATTAACCATCTTGTTAAACTGAGAGTTTTAGATCTCAGTAACAACAGTATCACAGCTATTTCAGACAACATTGTTAACTTTGTCAACTTGAGGCAGCTTTCCCTTCACAAAAATTATCTTTCTCATGTCCCTATTATAATTGATGAGTTGGCTAATTTAAATGTCCTGGATTTGAGTTCAAACCAGCTAAGCAGTGTACCAGCAACCATAGTCAACTTGAAGAATTTGCAAACTCTCAATCTGAACTCTAATCAGATCAATATTTTTCCAAAACCAATATGCCACATTCCAAAGATAATAAAACTTGAGATTGCAGATAACAATATTCATAGTCTACCAATGCAGATCTCTGATTTAGTAAGCTTAAATGAAATGTGTCTGGATAATAATAAGTTAACATTTTTGCCTATACAATTTTTTGAATTGGTTAACTTGACACATCTAAGTTTATGTGAAAATCAGTTGACTAACTTGTCAGACAGAGTAGAGAAACTGCAAGAAATGCAGGTTCTAAAACTTTCCAAAAATTGTTTAGAAAGTCTTCCCAAAGAGCTCTTCACTTGTGTAAAACTAGAGAAACTTTTAGTTGATAACAATCAATTAACATACTTACATAAACACATTGGTAATCTGTATAATCTAAAAGAACTTTCTGTCAGCAAGAATAAATTGAAAAAATTGCCATTTGGCTTGTCGCATCTCCAAAACATTACAATTTTAGATGCTTCTTACAATGAACTGCAAAACATTCCTATTGAATTGAAAAACTGTTCGCAAATAGTCAGCGCCAATTTGAGCAACAATAAACTTTCAGAATTTCCAACTGCATTTAGCATAATGCCTAATTTGCTGAATTTGAATCTTAGTCACAACCAAATTACATATTTAAACTTTGATGTGTGCTGCATGAAGAGCCTTCAGTACTTTAATATAAGTGGAAATAAGATCTCGTCATTTCCCATTCATCTGTGCAAAGTTTGGAACCTGACCTATTTAGATATTAGCGAAAATGGGATGAAGGATATTCCAAACGATATTTCTCAACTGAGAAACCTTGTGAATCTTTATCTTCAAAATAATGAATTTAAGGAAATTAATAAAAATATATGCAATTTAGCGGATCTGAAAGTACTTGATATTTCAAACAATCAAATAAAGGCCATTCCAACTCAAATTGCAAATCTGACCAATATTATCGAACTCAACCTTTCTAACAACCAACTTCCATCATTTCCAATTGAAATATGTCAACTAACAAGCTTGCAAAAATTGAAAATCAGCCAGCCATTTGGTGCTAAGGTAAGAAAATAGCACTGTGTAACAATGAGGCTGTTTTTTTAAAAAATGGAATTGAAAAAAAACAGAATACTTTAGGATGCACTAAAATAGTAAAAGAAACATAGGTTTACAGTTCAAATGGCAAATTCAGAACAGACATCAGAATAATAATAATAATAATCCTTGCATTTGATATAGCGCTTTTCACGTAGGGAGGACGTCCCAAAACGCTTCACAGAATATACTGTAAAGTGAATTCACTGTATATTTGTGAGCGAACGCGGCAGCCAATTGCGCACAGCAATGTCCCACAAACAGTCGTAGATTGAAAATGACCAATTTATTATTGTTTTTGGTTTTGGAGGGATTATTATTAGGCTCTGTGTGGAGTAAGGAAACTTGCCCAAGGTTACGCCCTCTGCCTGGAAATGAACTCAGGTCTCTCACTTGCAAAGCGAGTGCTCTAACCACTGAGCTACAGGACTCCAGAAAGTATATCTTTGCCCAAAGAGCAATTCATGACTGGAACAAGATGACAGGAAAGGATGGTTGGCACCAGGACACTGATCTCATTTTGAAATAAAACCATCTTGATGCTATGAGAGGTCAGCAGGATGGCTTTTCTGTAAGGATGAGATCAAATGTACTGAAGGCCTTTCTTCATCCAAACCTCTCTTGCATTCATTTTAGCACATTTTCGTTATAGTTTGGGATTGTTTGGTGCTTGTTATAAAAACAGAATTAGATGAAATGTAGATGCAGAACATTTCTTCACACGCAGATTCAAAAATATTATGGAGAAAAAAATATATATGGTGGATAAACTTTGCAATGGGTTATTTTGTGGCAACATAAATGGCCACTAAGTGGCAGTGTTCCTTTCCTGAGAAATGAAATTGTCCTCTACAGATCCACCACCAAGTGTTTTTCCTGAATTGAAGGTGAGCGTAATTGGAACTTGAAGACCCCAGAGTCAATTTGTTTGTTTCATATTTATTATTCAATGTTGATTTGGTGAGGAGGGGTTAAAGTCATATTTTCTCTGGATGAAAATTAACATTTTAGCAAACTAAGACTACCCCTCAAAACTTCCATCCCAAAAATAACTAGTTATTTTTTGACCAGAGAGAACAAATTTATAACTTCTTATTCTCTGCTCTAACTTTTTTCTCTTTATAGGTTATTCAACTATGCATGAAGAAGCGTTCTGTGACCTTTTACATTTTTCTAACTCCTTTGATTTCAACAACAGGTTTTAAACACAGCAACATTATCCCATTATGCTTACATTAGGCTGCAGATACAATACTTGGTCTTCAAAGTATGAAGGATGTTCTCAGTCACTGATAAATGCTTCCCACTTCTTGATTGATGCTTCACTTCCCCCATTGTTGAGCACTATGAGATGTTCATTTTACATGAATGGTATGATGTTAGCTCATCATACTAGCTATGATGAGAAGTTGGTTAGGTTGGAGTTATATTCTTTAGAGCAGAGGTGGTTAAGGGATGATTTGATTGAGGTATTTAAGGTAATGAAAAGATTGGGCAATTTAGAAAGTGAGTGACTCATTACAAGAATAAAAAACAATAATAATTTGCTTACTTAATCCACAGACGTTGCTGTGCGCAATTGGCTGCCACGTTTCACCCACAAGTATATAGTCAATTCACTTTACAATATATTTTGTGAAGCGCTTTGAGACGTCCAAAAGACGTGAAAAGCGTTATAGCAAATGCGAGGATTATTATTATTATAATAAACCATAATCCTATACAAATTCAAGTTGTTCCTATACAAATCCAAGTTGTTTTCTTAAGATGAAACTAACACTTATCAATCTATCATGAATTATGTACCCTTGGAAATTCATGTTAATTCTGTCACAACATGCAATATATCATACCTACTTCCTGCACTCTCCACACAGAGCAAGGGGCTTAGTAGTCTCCCATCTTTAACTGCTCCTCATTGGTAGTTCTGGGGAGGTGGAATTGGAGCAGATGAGACACAGTGATGGATTTCCATGGTTACAGAAAGTTTGAGTACATTTAAAAATTGTTGCAGGAAGAATATTTGTGCTGGAGTGTGGCACAGTGTGAGAAAAGCAAACACAGGTCAATTAGAAATAGTCAAAACTTCATTAGAAAAAGAAAGAGAAAATCGGCTGCAAAGTTGCCAAACTGAAAGAGACAGTATAGACTGAGCGGAATGATAAAGGCAAATTCTTCCATTAGTACAAACTCCAAATTTTCAATCTGGTATAAGAATGCCAAATTGTTACAAACATAATAGAAAAGACAGGAATCTCAAGCCCTAAATTGATTGATGAGTTTTTAGATAAAGGTGAAGAGCGAGGGGAGCTTGTTCAAAATAGTGAGATATTGGTTATTGAATGGGATGCTTCAGGGGTCCAACCTGGGACTGGATCCCTTTCTGTATCTAGTATACATAAATGATGTGGATTTTCAGACTCAGTGCCAGGTAGTTACATTTTCATACGATACAGAAACAATTTTACATTTATATAGCGCCTTTTAGATTGGGAGGATGTCTCAAATTGTTTCAGAGTTGACTGGGAGCCCGACTTGGGAATGGGGAAGCTGAGGAGGGTGAGGGTGAGTGAGGTTAAAGTGACAAAAGCATGATTGAAAAGACAGCAAGCTATGGGGGAACCGTGGAATCAGATTCAGAGGAGGCGGCCAAGATCTTACAAAGAACACTGGGAAATAATAATAATCCTTATATTTGGTATAGTGATCAGGAGAATGCCTCAAAACACTTCACAGGATATACTGTAAAGTGGAGTAAATAATTGGGTTGATCACAAATAAACTGTGTTCATGTCCCTCAAGTCCCCTGCTCCACCATTGGCAGCTGTGCTTTCAGCCACTAAGGCCCAAACGCTGGAATTCTCTGTCTCTGCTCACCTTCCCTTTCTCTCGGCTCAATGTCAAACTATGCCATTATTAAACACTATTTTATTTAACATTTTGATGATGTAATTTGAAAACTGTAGCATTAATAATATGGAAGGATAAGATTAAATAAGCTAAAAGTCTCCATCTGAACTTCTAGTCGATCAGTTAATTCATGCAAACTATAACTTTCCTTGAGGTAGAACATTATCTTCAATTATCCATTGTATTGTTGAGATTTTTTTAAAAAATTATATTCCAGTAGTCACTTCCTAGTTATTTTTGTGCAACTCCCATGAAGTTATGTTCTTCATGCCGGATATCTCCAAAACTCTTCATAACATGTTACCTTTGGTTTGGCTATTTATTGCTTTTACAGCTGAGAGATATACCTTTTGAAGTGGGTAATTTTGTCAACCTACAAGAATTTGACATAGAAGACAATGAGATTCCATTACTTCCAAACAATATTGAATTAATGAGGAATCTAACCACGTTTAAAGCTGCAAATAATAGAATACGCCAAATCCCCAATTTCATTACAGCGTTGTCCAAACTCCAGCATTTAGACTTGAAAGGTAAGATGTCTGTAAATTTTAAGCTCTTTCTAAAATCTATAAAGCACTGTCTGTCATGAAATTCTTGACATAGGCTTAGGAAGGTAAGAATAGAAGGCATTTTGGTCCATCTTATTATTTCATGCCTGTTTTTTATTTTCTAAACATAGTTCTCTTCTTTTTCCCCATATCTCTTAATAGCCTTATTTCTAAAACCATAATTGAGAGTCCCTAAATCAATTTAAAAGGGAATTGTTTAGATTCTTGAAGAGAGGGAATATTAAGTACAGATATTGAGCAGGAGCATACGATTAGGTTGGCTCATGTGGAAAGCAATCCATCAACTAACAACCGTTCCTATTTACTGCTAGGTAAACAGAGGTGTGTGGAATAAGCAAACATGCTTTCACCCGCCCAGGAATTAAGTCCGGGTCCTCTCGCTTGCGAGATGAGCGAGCTAACCACTATGCCACATGTAGTTGTTCCTTAATAAGTGGAAGTTTAAGAATTTTTGAAAGTTGTGTACTATAATAATTAGTGTAAAACTCATAGTTGGCATGGATACATAATTATTTAAAAATATAATTTTTTTTCTACTTTGTTAGGAAATAAGCTGTCTTCTCTCCCAAGAGACTTTGGCCGTCTGAAGGCTCTGGAAGAAATACAGCTGGATGCAAATCCCCTAGTAAAACCCCCAATTCAAGTTTGCGAAGCAGAAAAGCTTTTTCCAATAGATGAATACTTGAGGTGTACAGCAATCAGGGACAGTAAGTATATGTAGTAATGTCAGCTAACACTGCTTGCAAGCCATCATGATTATTAAGTATCAGTAGCACAGAATACAGTTACAGTATTAAGTGGTTAATGACATACTGTTTCAATGTCTGTGTCAGTATTGTGTGTGTTGTTTTCTTTCAGAAAAGCTACTAGAAAAAATCATAAAGGTTATAACACAAAAGGTTTCTTCTGAGGATTTCGAACATCTTTGCAAGAAGCTACATCTGCCACACGAAAATGTTGCGTTATTGTCAAAAGCAAGGTTTGACATTTCATGCTTCCGCATCTGCTTTGTTGAGAAAATAAGTAATTCTCTGGAGAGATTGGTAATGCTCCCCCACTTTCTAAGATTTGCATCCAGATGGTTTCCATCACAAGATGATGTTCCTGAAATACATATGGGGGAAAATATGAATTTTCAAGTGGACCAGAAATGTGGTTCTAATGTGTCCTGAAAAACTATCCTTAAGATTCATGACAAGCTTGGGATTGAACACTCTTGTCCTGTACATGTAAACACATGTGAAGAAGCCATTTGGTTAATCATACCTATGTCGAGGAGCTTGGGCTAACTGCTCTAATTCCAACACCCTGCTTATTTTGTATTAAAAGCCCCAAATTACAATAGAAGTTTATATTTATATAGTGTCTTTCAAGTCTGCAGGATGTTCCAAGCCGCTTAACAAACATGACATGGCATCTGAGCTGGAATGGGAGTCGAGGAGGGTGGGGAGGAGATAGGTTACTGCTTTCAAGAAAAATGTTTCTTCAGCCAAATTGTTTACAATTAGTATCTATCAAGCGTGAACCTGCTACGTGGAAGGGTTTATTCTGAATTCTAAAGACACTACCATACAAATTTCCATTTATACAGCACCTTTCACATTGGGAGAACATTCCAAATCACTGAGTGTGTACCTGACAATAGGTGTCTATAATCCATGTCTCAGTGAACTTACTTTACAGTAAAGAAGAGCCATAGTCAAGGGAACGTCACAGATCCAGTGAGTTAGCTAATTATCTAGTATGGCACAAGGTAACTGCATTGGTTTCATCAACCTGTATAGGGAAGGGAAAACCAGCCGTGGGTTCTTATGCTGTGTGTGCACCTCAGGGTGAGGGCAGGATAATAATAATTGCTTTTGGTAATGCACTTTATTACTTCAAAGGTTATCTTGAAGTGCTTCACAGGAATTTCTGTGAAATGCGTATAATGTAGGCAAACACGACAACACAATTGTGCACAGCAATGTCCCACAAGCAGCTATGAAACGAATAACCACTCCGAACTTGAAAAGATTTCAATATTATTCTAGGTTCTCAGGCTCCTTCCGCTCCCTATCCTAAACCTCTGTGTGATTTCCTGATTTGTCTCTAACAACAATCATCTGTTTTACATCATAACTTATGCAACAATGAGAAGCATTCAATTCCAATCTAGATTTACCAAAATTGACATTAATAAGAACTGAAACAGCACAACACAGTCAGTGATCTAAAGGTTTGTGTCAAGTTATGGGGCAAGGCACAGGTTTCTATCTGTGATTCACTGGATGCTGAGCATCATGATCATGGTTGTGCCACAGGGTGGACATTACATTCTTCACCACAGGAAGGAAGGTTTTTGTTTGATCTTACTCATCTCCCAATGGTTACCTTAAGCGTTACCATTGGCAGAACCCTTTGGCAGGTTGCTCACTTCAAGACCTCTCACTCAAGGAAGGTGAATGTACTTGGGGTGAGGGGGCAGGGGAGAAGGAGGAGGAGGGGAAGAAAAGAAGGCAGGGCAGAGAGACCTGTTACAAAGGGAAAATAGTCATAACTAAAACAAGATTTACTTGATTTGGTAAAAGGAAAAAAATGAGCACTTGGCTATGTGACTATTGCTGAGAAGGTATTTTCTTTTCATATAGATCACTTACATTGGAAGATAAGCTAGCGCAAGCCCTGATCTGGTGGCAAAATCAACAACCACCTTCACTGGAACCTTCGGACTTAACGATTAATTTAATAAGAACTCTGGACATCGCAGACCTGCAAAAGCTGGCAGACATGGTGAAAGCCATACGAATATATGCACAAGCTATCAAATTCTAAGCATGCTCCATGCACACATTTCTGTCAACGAGTTGCAACGCAAATGTCAAAAAAGATCCATTGTGCAATAATAAAAGAATTTGAAGTTGAAGTCATCACATGTTTTTGTAGCATCCTTTTTAATTAGTAGGTCACATTTTAAGAAATTACATGAACATTTTTTAAATCTAATGAACAGTACAATAAGTACAACATGTTAAGACACACATCTGTACTTTGTGCACTCAAAAACAGTGCCATGGGAGCACTGCATTGTCCTTCAGATTAGCTGTTAAACTGAGATTCGCTTTGGTGGATGTTAAAGAGTCTTTATTTGGAAAGAAAATGAAGTTTCTCTCAGTGTTCTGACCAATTAAATCATAAAACTGATTATTCCCTTCATGGCTGTTTGTGGGACGTTATTGTGCACAACAAATTGGCTACGCGTTCATCTACAAAATGCACTTTACATTATATCTTGTGAAGGGTTTTAAGATATCTCAACATTACATGTGCTACATCAAATGTAATAATTTTTTTTAGACAGAAGAGTCTTAATTTCACTAAGGCAACATAGCTTTCACTCTTTGGAAACCGGTTAAAGTGGAATTTTTTACCCAGAAATTTTGCAAATTGGGAAGAGAACCCAGACTGTTAGGCAGCCTCCACTGTGAGCAGAACAAAATCCTAAATCATTCTTTTTGGAGAAAAATGTTCTTGAAATATCGTTGGTGACATCATCCGCAGACATGGGGCTAACTTCCACATGGATGCGGATGACACCCAACTCTACCTTTCCTCCTCTACCCTCAACTCCATGACCACCGATGTCCTGACAGCCCGCCTGTCCGACATCGAGTCCTGGACGAGAGACAACTTTCTTCAGCTCAATGTGCGCAAAACTGAGGCCCTCCTGATTGGCTCACGTCAGCGCCTCCGCACCTCAGGTGCTGACAGCATCAGCATCCAAGGCTGCACTCTCCACCTCGCAAAGCCGTCAGGAACCTCGGGGTTCTCTTCGACCCTGAGCTGTCCTTTCTCCCTCATATCCGCGCCACAACTGGCACCGCCTTCCATCACCTCCGGAATATCGCCAGACTACGGCACTACCTCACCCCTCACGCTGCTGAAACTCTGGTCCACGCCTTTATCACCTCAAGGCTGGACTATGGGAACTGTCTCCTCGCCGGCCTTCCCGCCACCTCCCTCCACAAGCTGCAGGTCATTCAGAACTCTGCAGCTCGTGTACTGTCCCGCACCAGGCTTCGGGACCACATCACTCCCACCCTCGCTCGCCTCCACTGGCTCCCCATCCCCCAGAGGATCGAATTCAAGATCCTCATCCTCACCTACAAGGCCATTCACGGCCTTGCTCCCTCCTACCTCTCCGACCTACTATCCCCCTACCTACCTGCCCGTACCCTCCGTTCCTCTGGCTCCGGTCTGCTCCACATCCCCTGCACCAACCGCCCTACCATCGGTGGTCGGGCCTTCAGCCTCTCAGCCCCGAGGCTCTGGAACTCTATCCCCAGTGCCTTCGCCGCCTCCTCCCTTTCCTCCTTCAAGGCCGGTCTCAAGACCTTTCTCTTTGACCGTGCCTTCAGCTCCCCTCTCGACTCTCTACCCCCTCCTCACTCCCTCCCTTCCCTCCCCTCACCCTGACCATTTCCCCCCAAGGCTCGGGTCCTGACCCAACTGTACAGCGCCTTGGGACGTCCTCCCGCCGTGAAAGACGCTCTATAAATGAAATCTTGTTGTTGTTGTTCTCTTGCTAGGCATCCAACCCTGCCTCAGTACAGCACTCTGAGACACTATCCTATGTGAAGGGCACCATATAAATGCCATCAGCTTTATAAGGAAATTATAATTAGGTTCTGTTAATGTTGAGCACAATACCCAATGCTTTTTCTTCTCTAGTTGTTAAATCCATATTGCATTCAGCTGTTTATTCACATGTGTCTATTGTTAATTTCTGGATAATGCATTGTAACCAGATGAAAGAAAGTTTGAAAGATGCCAATCTCTAGATAGGTTCCTAAAACTACTTGGCACTGCTTCCACTTTGTCTCCTCCTCTGATGGTTTCCCCTGCTGTGCTTGCATGGTCCCCTCAGCCTCTATCCTCAGTTCCCTCCTGTTCCTCATCTCTTGGCTACATCATCGGTAGACGTGAGGTTAATGTCCATGTGTATGCAGATCACACACAAATCTACTTTTCCACTTCTATGTTTGAAGCCAGGTCCACTGATGTTCTGTCTGCCTGCCTGTCAAACATCAAGGCCTGGAGGATTTGCATGCAATTTCTTGCATGTTATCATGTACAAGACAAAACTAATCTTCCTTGGCTTCCGCCATGGTCTCCAAACTTCAAGCTCTGATCTCAACCTCCCTGGCCTCTCTCTCAAACTGACCAAACCAGTGCACAACCTTGGTGTTGAGTATTATCCTCAGATCTCCTTTCTTCCTCACATGCAGTCTATGACCAAGACTTTTCTTCATTTTTGCCACATTGCCTGCCTAGTCCCCTTTCACACACTAAATGCCACCAAAACCCTTATGCTTTTTTTAAAAAAAAACCATCGACAAGACTTTTCTAAAACACTTCGAGATCGCACGAGTCTCGAGCTGATCCAAGACTCCACTAACCACACCTTCACTCATAGCAAACTCCCCATGAACATTACCACAATCCTCGCCAGGCTCCACTAGCTCCCTGTCTCCCAATGGATCCACTTAAAAGTTCTTCACCTTTGTCTATAAATCCCTTCACCCTCCTATCTCTATGATATTCTCCTACCCCAATCTTCTGATCGTCCACTCCACTTCAGCTCAACTAATGGACCTCCTGCTCAGCCCACGACAGCTCTGAGCAACCATTGGTGGCTGAACCTTCAGCTACCACATCGCTAACTTTCCTCTAGAATTCTCTCCATTTCTCCCACTCTCCATCTTTAAATCTCACCTAAAAGCCTTTCTTCAACCATGCTGTACAGTCACTTTCCCCTTTGATTTATGAAGCAATTCGAGATGTTATCCTACTTGAAGGGCAATATATAAATGCAACTGTTCTAGAGACCTCCTTGCTGGATGGTGCAAAATTAGTAAAGACAGAATGAAGATTGACTAAAATACCACAACAATGTACACTCACTGCCAAACCTTACACATAAAAATGGTTACCAAGGTGAAATAATAATAATTGCATTTGATATATCATCTTATCATGTCTTCTAAGTGTATCAAAGCGTTTCACAGAACATACTGTAAAGCGAATTGACTGTTTTGTGGGCGAAACATAGCAGACAATTACATGCAGCAAACAGTCGTGGATTAAGTGACCAATATATTTTTTTTTGAGGAATTATTAGCCCCGAAAAAGCGATCTGACAAACGACTAACAACTGGATTCTTACTTATTGCGAGGTTAACAGAGGCAAGTGGAGTAAGGAAACTTGCCCAACGTTTCGCATTGCTGGGAATCAAACCAGGGCCTCTCACTTGCGAGCTGACTGCTTTTACGCTCCAAGCTACAGGACTTGAGAAATACGGAACTGTACAACTGAAGAAAAAAATGCCTTCAGAAGAGAAGAAAATTAGAGAAAAAAAATAAAGTTGCTGTCGCATTATTTTTTATATATCCCATTCCCATTTTGACACTTGGGAAAAATAAACTGTAGCAGGGCTTCACACCAACAATCTATGGACATGGGCTGTCTTTCCTATATGCGATTTTTTTCAATCAAATATTCTTAATATTACATATTTATGTCAATTCAAAAGAGATTGTCTAATAAACTTTTGCGGAAACATTTCACGTACACATAACACTCTGTTCAGTTGATGAGATGCAAACAAATGCTTTTTGAGGTCATGCAATTAGCTGTAATGACCTGATCATCACTTACTTAAATTACAAATTGTGACATACTACTCCTTTGAAATGAATAATTAAATCGCTTAAACTTTCAGTTCTGCAGTGCCTTTCGAGAGCATTTGCAGATGAGTACTCCTTAAGAAGCAGACAGCCTTTAACTACAGAAGATAAAAGGACTTGATCATGTCCAAAAGGCGATGTGTTGAGTTAAAAATTAGCCAGACGATCCGCTGTACAACACCAATTTCCAGGAGGCAGCAGCAATCCACCAACACTGGTAATGTACTGCATGTCTTTGACTTTAGGCACCATATAGAATTCCTTTCTCTGTTGTGTCCTTTTTGACAATGCTTGGATGTTTGAACTCTTATTTTGTTTGTCCTAATCATAAGAGAGGCCCTATCTGAAGAAGACTCTACTGCCTATATGAATTTATTCTTCCATAATACCCATCACAGCATCAAGTCATTCGCTAAAAATGAGTCAAACATCCTAGTCTCAATCATCTCAAACATTCATTACAGCTATGAATTATGCAGTGTATGTAAGAATACATCACAATCCTGACCTGTGCCTTCTTGGTCTGCAATTTTGGTTTAACGAAAAAAGGTTTTAAGTTTTTATAAAATGTTCTGTAAAATTGCAACCTGCATCATTCTGCATCATCTCATTATTATTATTATTATTCATTTGTAACTTATACCGGATGTATCTGACCAACTAATCCTAAAACGTTCATAAATGTAATGAAAAGTACTCATTGTGATTCAGCAAAGGAGAACAACTTAGTGGTTTACAGAAGTAATGCCAACATCACAAGTTACACAATATTGTATCACTACCTTCATCTATCTGAAGATCTCTGTCATCCTCTGCAAAGATGAAACCTTTTGTAATTGTGCATAAAGGAAATTTTCCTCTGGAAAAAAACACCTCAGCAATTGGCTTAACATTTTAAAATGTTACTATTGAAAATAATTCTAAAATAAAACAAGCAACATGACCTGAATCAACACTACAAAATGTAAGAACTACACACAATTCTCTTACAAACCGCATATAATAATTCAGCATTAGTATAATGTCTGCCTGTTCAGGTTGACGTGAAACCTGAAGATTATAATAAGATTATAATAATAATAATCCATATATTTGATAAGGCAGCTTTCACTTCAGAAGGACATCTCAAAGCACTTCACAGGATTTACTGTAAAGTGCTATGACTGCATTTTGTTTGGGAAGTTCTCACGGCCACTATTCCAAAAGAGAACAGAGTTTCTCCTAGTGTCCTGGCCAACAATTTTCCAAATAAAATTGTCCTTCACTTCAAGGCAGTTTGTGGATCATTGCTTTTTCAGCATTTTTACTGTCACCTCCCCCCTCCCTCTGGATCAGGGTCAGACTCCATCACTGTCAAACACTCCGGGACGTTATCCTGCATGAAGGGCGCTATATAAACGCAAGTTGTTGTTGTATGCAAATTGACTGTTATACTCACCTTCACTACAATTTAAAGAAAACTCTGTGAAGCAATTTGATACACTTCAACGTAATAAGGCATTAAACTTTTCATCCAAATTCTGACCAAGTCTGCTTTCAATTCTGGAACATCGCCCGTCTGCACCACTACCTTTCCACAAACCAGCTGAAACATACATAAATGAAAATTGTCGTTGTTGAATATCAAATGGAAGGATTATCATTATTCTAACATTCCACTATCCCATGTTTTTCGGGATCAGAGGCAAAGTCTCAATTCTGATACTGTACTGGCAAAAAATACTCAGTCCCAGCCTATGGTCATTTCCCTTCTTCCTTGCTCTGTGCCCAACCCCATTAGCGCACAGTGCTCTGAGGCGCTATCCTGCATGAATGATACCGTATAGTTTAAAGCTATTGTTTTCGTTGTTGATTTGGATAACCTTAAGCACGGTTACGAGTTCTCCCAAGGCTGACCAAATAAACATCCTCATATCTTGTAAATCTTCCAAGATCTCCAGGACGGCAGATCACTGGTGCTGGTTCCTGACCATATCTCAGTAGTTTCCAGCTTTTGCAATTGGCAAAAACATCCTCACCATCTCTCGTCCTGATTGAGAATCCCAATCCTATGCCCTGTATTTCTGCTTTCATGGTCAAAATCAACAGAATGGTTGCATATATATATATATATATGTATATACATAGTGTGGCTCGGAGTCTGAGGGTTGTGTTTTAATCCTCACTCACAGTCCAGACTGGGGGAGAGCTGCTGCTGAATCCAAGCACTCAACTCCTGCAGTGAAATGTTGTGCCGTATATGACGAGTTGTAAATAATTCAGCCACAGCGCAGTATGTTTTAATGATGAGCGAGTTCGCCCCTCACAGGTCAGAATCGGCCTAACTGCCGCTGCGAGGAATTGCCCCGAATGTCGGCAAACCACACGGGGCCTCGGGGCCCCCGATCCCCGGCTCCCGGGCCTCCAACAACAACAACAACAACAAGTCACACTGGGCCACCGCCCTTCACGTCGGAAAGACGTCGTAACTCTAACCACCAACAGGCAGCGCAGGGCGCGATGTCCCTCCATGACGGCCCCTCTCATGAACACCTCAGTCAGACTGACCTCAACACCGGGCCCTGTGAACGCTCATTTTAGCCAAAAGCTCGAGAGGCCAAACCGTGTTGCGAACACGAGCGGCAGCTCCGCGCGGCGCCGCTACCTGACATGCGCGGTGATTGGGTGAGGTCGCTCGGCCGGACACGCGCGGTGATTGGGTGAGGTCGCTCGGCCGGACATGCGCAGTGATTGGGTGAGGTTGCTCGGCCGGACACGCGCAGTGATTGGGTCAGGTCGCTCGGCCGGACACGCGCAGTGATTGGGTCAGGTCGCCCGGCCGGACATGCGCAGTGATTGGGTGAGGTCGCACGGCCGGACATGCGCAGTGAGCGCGCGTGGTGCGGCGCCGGCGGTCGCCATGATGACGCGGGGAGGAGCTGTTGAGGGCGGGCGCTCGGCGGTGCTAACGTGTCACTGACCTCAGTGCTGCTCTGTGACAGGAATGGAAGACGAGGAGAGACAGAAGAAGCTGGAGGCCGGTAAAGCCAAGGTGAGGTCTGCACCGCCGCCAACACCGCCACCGCCGCCACCCCGAGCCCAGCCGCGCCCGTGTCTCCAGTCGATGGTTGGCATTGTTGTCCGGCAGGGCAAGGCTGGGCTGGCAAGGCTGGGAGGGCAGGGCTGGGCTGGCAGGGCAGGGAGGGCAGGGCTGGCAAGGCAGGGAGGGCAGGGCTGGGCTGGCAGGGCTGGGAGGGCAGGGCTGGGCTGGCAGGGCAGGGAGGGCAGGGCTGGCAAGGCTGGGAGGGCAGGGCTGGGCTGGCAGGGCAGGGAGGGCAGGGCTGGCAAGGCAGGGAGGGCAGGGCTGGGCAAGGCTGGGAGGGCAGGGCTGGGCAAGGCTGGGCAGGGAGGGCAGGGCTGGTGTGAGGGAAGGAGCGGGAGCCTGTCCTGCCCGACCCCGTCTCCAGCTGCCGAGACACACGCTTTCCTGCCGCTCGTTCCCAGGCTGCAGGCGGCTCCCAGGCCTCTGGTCTCTGACGAGCGGAGACGACAGGAGACCGAAGCTGTGGGTCAACACCAAACACACAAGTGAAACGAGCGGCTGCATGCGGAGTGACCCGCTGTGTGCGGAGTGACCCGCTGAGCCACCGGCTGCTCAGTGTGGAGAGGGAAGTCAACACAGCCAGGGGGGAGGGAGGAGAATACGCTAAGGTTTAAAAATAAAGCAAAGCAAAATATATGTTTGTTTTCCAACCACACTGCACAGCCGTGTTTACTCACAGCATGCACACCCAGTACACGGTTTGATAAGTGTTGCACTTGGTGCAAGGGTCACAATACCATACAATCCTTGACCAATATCATTTCAAAGTCTTCAAGAATTTTCCACCCAAACCGCACAAAATTCATCTGTGCATTTTCTCAAATTTTCACATTGAGATTTATTTCTTACCAGTATAGCTTGCAGAGGTGGATGTGTTTCATAGAAGGACCTGGGTGTTTGGTTAAGTTCAGCAGTTGAATTATTGTGTCCACCACCTCAAAAGTATTTTAAATTTTATAGCACCTTCATACATCAATGTATTTAAGAGCTTAACGTTTAATTACTGCTAAGATTTGTGACTTTTTGGAGGTAAGCATTGCAGACATTGGTGACAGCAAAGCACCATAAATGTCCCCAAGATAAATGACCAATTAATTTGGAGGATTGTTGTCCAGGACACAAGGAGAAACGTTCTCTGATCAAATAGTGCCTTTGGGATAGGGATCTTTAACATCCACCTGAACAGGTTTAATGACAGCATCACTGTCACAGCAGCTTTCCCTTTATATTTGTCACAACAACAACGCGGGACGATGTCCCAAGGCACTGAGGTGCTACTACTGTTAAGAAATTGTGAAGCCATGCAGTGTACATGGCATACACCAACTCCCAATTTCCACATATCTTTATGTACTGAAATGTTTACTGAACTTCAAAACATTATAGATCTCCAAGTATGTTCTGTGCTTCCGATGTAGTTTATGTGTATTCACAACAAAGTGTTTACTTCACACCACTTAGTTCAATGCACTGTAGTAATCAGTGATAAAATGAGCGGAGTTGGAGCTGAGGTGATGCGTCTTACAATGGAAGATGGTAATCAATGTGATGCTTTATGGTGTTCTCAGTATTCTGGGTCTTGAGCCAGACAGGTCTGTAACACACAAAGGCACTGTTGATGACAGACCATTTGGCTGGCTCATTGGAGAGATGGACGATACCAGGGGCAAGGATTCTTCACACCACTCAGTTAACATTGCGAGCCAAAGTTCTGATGGGTAGAATGCTCTTAGGTGGACAAGCAGTGAAAAGAAACTTGCCAGTCAGTGTTCACAAGGTTTAGCTAAATGGATCCTCTGGCAGTCTTGGTAGGTCTGCATACTCCCAAGGCATTGTTGATGATGTCAGTCAATCCGGCTTATTCCGGGGACTCCGAGGAGCAGACCAGTTACTTAAGATTCTCCCACCTATTTCTGGTTAACCCTACAAGCCAAAATCCTAATAGCTGAACAAACAGCGAGATGCTTGCCAGGATTCGCAGTGGCACACTGTGGGGTCCCCAAATCTTGGATCTTGCTAACCTGCACCTAAACTCTCAGGCTTACAGTACATTTTACATTTATATATCATCTTTCCTGTTGGGTGGATGCCTCAAAATGCTTTACGCTGCTGGATGGACAACCATTCTGAGGGGTGCAAGTTGAAAAGGGTGGAGAGGGTAAGATGCCTATAAACATGGACAAAGGATCTTGTCTTAAGGTGGATGATTTACATGAGTAGGGTGCATAGTGTTGTTGGTGCATTGTGATTGTGTGCGTGGAAGAGATACTTGGCTGACCAAAATAAAAGTGTAAAGTTGTTTGGGTCTGCGTACTTATGTAATGATATATCTATTTATTTATTTATTTCATACATGCACATTGATTAGTAGGTGAACTGATCAGAAAGGAGATTTGCCAACTGCTAAACTAGATATTTTGGACCCATGAGAGGAAAATGAACACATAATCATTCTGTTAATAAAAACAGTTCAAAATGCTGTACTGTGTAGGGCTTCAGATAAAATAAGTACAGAATTTAGGGAATTTCTGGTAAATTGAGTGCTAGCAGGAAAGAATCTTGATTGCTACTATATTAAGAGTTACAAGTAAAGTTATTTCTTGAAGTTGTAGATCTATACTTAATCCAGAGCAGAAAGTAGCCAAGGAATTTCCAGCAATTGTAGGCTAGGGATAAAAGTGACTCCCAGTGGATCACTTGAGCAGCCTGTATTCAGTGATGGCATTTATACACAAAACATTTGTAGAATGTTAATGTTAAAAGGCTGAGTGTAACTGGCATATGACTTATTTGATCGTGCTCTCAGTCATCTTTCCATTCCCCACCCTCAACTCCTAGCGCAGATGTCCAGCCAGACATGTCAAGCACTTTGAGATTCCCTCCTGACGTGAAAGGCACTATATAAATGTAAACTGTTGTAATTTTATTGTAATCCAGCTTTTTTCCCAAAATCATAACCAGTTGAATATTCCTTTTCTGAGTTTGAAGTAATATTATAAGGTAGGAACATTTGATAGCTTACCACAGGAAATGTGAAGTGGACAGAACTGTTAGTCCACTCTTGTCTATTTTTAGCTGGCACCTCCCTACCTCTCGGACCTCCTCACTCTCCAATCCACAACCCGTGCCTCTGCTCGACTGGCACCAGCCTCCTGCTCGTCCCTCGCACCCTACGCTCCACTATTGGAGATCGCGCTTTCAGCCACTGCGCCCCAAAACTTTGGAACACTCCCTCAATTCCTCCGCCTTGCCCGCTCTCTTCCTTCTTTGAAGTCCCGCCTGAAAACTTTCCTCTTCAACCGTGCTTACGGCCCCCTCCCCCTGGCTCAGATCAGGCTCCACCACTGCTAAGCGCTCTGAGACGCATAGAGGATGCTATGTAAGTGCAGGTTGTTGTTGTACTGATTAGAGCGCTTGCCTCACAAGTGAGGCGACCCATGTTAATCCCTTCAAAAAAANTTATAATAATTTGGTCAATCAATCCATGACTATGGTGTGATTTGCCCGCAAAATATACAGTTAATTCACTTTACAGTATTCTATAAAGTGCTTTGAGACATCTCAACTATGTGATAAGGTGCTATATCAAATGCACAGATTATTATTAATTATAGGAATATTTTGGTCCCTTATAAAGTTTTTCCTACAAAGCATTTTCTTCTCCCTCCTTGTACGTTTGAGGTTATTATCCATTGTGGTAGATGGGGAAACCTCCAAGGGGTAAAAGTGATTGGGTATTGAATGTGTAAACCTCAAATGTTCTAAGATTAATTTCATTTACAGTGTTTCATTTAGCTCATTGCTTTCACACAATTAATTCACAGTATTTGAAAAATAGGAAATGAATACATCAGCTTCTAACTACATTTGGAAAATCAAATACTACTTGATTATAGAGATTCTTGTCATTAAGTAAATCTATCTTCATATCAAGAAGGTTTCTATCTTGATTGAAAACCTAACATTTGCATTTAATATACAGTAGTGCCTTTCATGTTGGGATGTCTCAAAATTGCTTCGCACGATTTTCTGTGAAGTGTAGTAATCGTATATTTTGTAGGTGAAAGTGGCAGCAAGCTTCTACACAGCAATGTCTCAAATGTTTATGTATTTATGCCAAACCTTATGTGACACTTTGAAACAGTTTGCTGCTCTGTCTATCATATAGTGCTTGATTCTCCTCACTCACAGTAAATGATGAACTAAATGACCTTTCAAAGGAGAACATGTTCTCTTCTATTCAGCTTTTTAATTTCTAGTGTGCAAGTTTAACAAGATCAGGCATGTTCTCTTTATTTGGTTTAAGCAATGAAATAACATGCCTGTCACATTGTGTTAATGAATCTGTATACTGGATGCATCACAATATGTTGTAGTACAGCAGCATCTGAGCTTGAATATTTAATCGGAGGGATGGGATGGGGAAAAGGTTTAATTATTTTGTTCAAGTTGTCGCTTTTCTAAGCTGTATAAATTTTTTACTAGCTGGAAATTTCACCTTAAAAATGTTTATTTTGCACTTCAGTCCTTTTGTTGAAACTATACTTACACACGGTACACATACTAGAAACATAATAAATGCTTAAATGTTAATAATTAAACCATCTGTCCAATACGTGTCGTCCTCCTCTGCTTGCTTAAAAAAAATTGACTTTAGGTAACGGGTATTTCTTCGGCTTTGTCATTCACAGGTGAATGAAATTGTTGATGAAAAATTCAGTAATTATGACTGTTTATTGTACCATATTTTACTTTTGGAATGTATGCTGGAAAATCACGATAATATAGTACTAGAAAAATGAGACATTACATAATGAAACACAAACTAAGAAGCTTCCCCAATGTTTATAGAGGGCAAAGACAGTTCCTTGAATAGCACTAAGCAATACAGTATTGACCAGGTCCTAGGTTCAATTCCCAGATTCTGCTGAATAAAAAAACTTAAGCGGGGGAGCTAGGATATGTGTTGCGGTGCAACAATTTTGCTTTTTGGTTCTGAACTAAAGAGAAAATTCAGTTAGGGTTCCTGCTCCTAAATTCTGACCAATGATCCCTGGTGGCAAATACACACAGACAGCTGGTGAGAACGGGATTGAGTTTGGCTGTGATTCCTTTTCTCCCCCCGCCCCGCAATGATCAAATACGAATTGCTTGCCAACACACACAGACTTGTGCATGAAGAATGGACACTCGGACGAAGGTATTTTGCAGCGCTGAACCCAGCAAGTGTCTGGACTTTTAGTAAAGGAATAAAGAGAAGACAATTAACAAATAACACCACCAGCTGTCAATGAGAATAAGACTGTAACCTTGAGGTGCTGCTAACATTTGTAAACTGCTTGGGCTGTTAATCTGTGTTAGTGAAGCTCATCAGAGCCACTTAATTTCAATCGGTGTCTTATCAGAACTATTATGCAAATTTATTATTCATAATATGAAACAATTTAGTAAATAGAAAATACATTTATTGCTAAATAAATGTTGCCATAGTTTCTGATGCGTACTGTCTTGAATCAACAGTAATAGAGTTGTGCATAGGTTTTGTATTTGGAAGTTACAATAGCATTGGAAAACTGCTTCTAATGTTTTCAGGCAATTTATTGATCATTGCAATTAATCAAATCAACATTTTTGTTTGCTCACCATTAACTCTTGTATTATTTTGCATATGTTGAAGATTTTCTAAATTGTAAAGTATCCAGCACTGTTGTTTATGTTGCTGTAATTTGAAGAGATTACAGAAATTGTATTTCACAAATTGCAGGTCACTAACCTGCACAATATTCCTGCCTCATCCAAATTTACCTTAATTGTTGGTTGTGGGATGTTGTTGATGTAGCATTAATTGTTGCATTTCTCTACTTTGAAATAACATCTCATTGTGTGAAATGCTTTGAGATAATTTCAACACAATAAGGTGCTACATGAAATTCTAGCATTATATTACTGTGTACAGCAACTGTGTAATTTGTTTTAAATATGGTGCAAAAGTATAAGGAGCTCATTCAAATAGTGCTATCATTTTCGTTCATTTCCATTTTTTTATACAACACTTATTTTCAGTTTCTGTAAACTGAAAGCATTTGGTTTAGAATTCATTGTTATTACATTAAAAGGATATCAAACGTTTATATTTTGCAGCTTGCCCAATTCCGGCAAAGGAAAGCTCAAACTGATCAAATTCCAGTGAAAAAGCAGAAGAAGAAGAAAAAGAAGGCAAGCAATAAAGCAGAGGAACAAGTACAAGGTGGCAAAGATAAAGATCAGTTGCAAAGTGATGAGACTTGTGCAGGGAAAGGACCATCAAGTGACGGTGCAGAGTTCATAATTACCAGAACTTTACGCAGTGGAGATACGATCAAACAGGATCAGACCTATACAATTGAGGTGGGAGCTTCTTCACTATTTGATTTATTTGAGCAAACTGAATTATTAAAAACACTTACTAATGCTCATAAGTATGGATAGGTATCTTTGAATTGTTCATCCACAGAATGATGGGGCAACAATCATTCTTCGGTTAATTGGGGTTTTAGGTGGATACACTTGAACTTTTAATGTTTCTAAAATGCTTAAAAACTGAGTTTTGTATAACACCCCAAGAAGCAATGCATTCATGATGATTCTAGAGCTCAGTGCAAAACTTATTTTCAACAGTCGAAAGGATAAAACATATTTTTGAATAAAAGCTACTGTTGAATTGTGGAGATGATCCATCTATAAAGTATGTGTACAATTATTTCTAACTCTTACCGCTGTAAGGCGCTATATCAAATGCAAGGATTATTATTAAGATTATTATTATTATTTTCTTCCGAGCTAGCAGTAGGGACATTTCACACGATGCCTTGACCATAGATGTAATTTCGTAGTTCTTTTTAATAAAAAAAAGAGGATTATCTTTTTTGGGTTGGGAAATAAAATCTGCATGCAAAGCCGACCCAACAGGACATTTTGTGTCGAATTCAGCATGTGTTTGCCTAAAATACAGCTCTAAATTAATTTGTTAAGGCACAGGAACTGTAGCACCACAAACCAAGCACACTGGTTTTGAAGTTCTCTCTTGTGTAAACAAGAACTGTTACTTTCCAAAATGGATTAAACTCTCTCAACGCAATGTCTTCTTCATATTTTCTTTTTGACCTACTGGGCTGACTAAGCAACATGTTTAGGGGTAAAAATCAAATACTTAGAAGATCAACAATTAAACTTCAACACACTTGAATCAAAGGCTGCAGCTCACAGACTGGCATTGAGCTTGTTGGCTTTGGGGGTGAGATTATGCGGCAATGCCATCACCTCAGCGAGGGATTTAGTAATTGTTAATGGAGTTATTGTTAAGGTGTGTTGCGAGAGACTACCAAGAACATGGTGTGCTACCTGGTGACACATGGCCAGTGATTGGCCACCTCTAATGCAATGTTTAGTGTACTGTATTGTTGGAGATGTTATCCTTCAGATGAGACAGTAAACGTCTGTAAATTCAGGTGGATAGTAAAGATCCCATGGCACTGTTCGTCTCAATGACATAATTAGGTGGTATATCAAATGCAAGGATTATTATTCTTGCAATTTATTTCAGAAACTGCTTGATGTCGCAATGGGAAGGGTAGTATGGGTGGGATTCTGTAAAGAAGAGATTCAGTTACTGAAAAGCTTTCTTCAATTTCAACCTCGCCTTTGTGATATTTTGTGAAATAATCACAACAGAATTACTGGAATTTAATCATCTTTATTTGGGTAATAGCATCATTGTAATATGAATAGCTTTATGTTTGAGTTAAAAAAATCTGTTGGTTGCATGCTAGCTGATGTCACTGATTGAAATTACACACATGCAAGCAAGTGTATCAGATTCTAAAATAAAACTGTCAGTGTTTCACAACAGCTGAGATTAAAAAAAGCTCTGAGAAATTGTAAGATGAAAGCAAAGCACCCAACGGCATGTGCAAAATTCCCAAAATATCTTTCACCAAATGGCATGTGTTTACTCCCCAAACCTTTCTATCATACCTTAAGATCCTTGTTTTCTAAGTTTGCTTAATAAGAGAAACTGCCTGCTGTGATGTTTATTTGATAAACATTGCATGGTGTGAAATTTTAAAAGGTTCAACAAATGCTTTGTCAGTTATAGTGGTCCATAAAATATTACAAATTTAAAATAAGCCATATCAGTAAGATATTTATAAATTAAATAAACTACTATGAGAAGAAATCTTGACTTAGTGGCAAGTAAACTGCAGGAGAAAGTGACGTTTGCCTTGAGGTGAATTAAATGCTTTTTCTAGTTTATTAATCTACCACCCACACTCCAGGTTAGGGCCCTCAGCCATTTAAGAGAAATTCACTGAGTTTCAATGATCAAGAGTTTTGTATCACTGAACACACATAAGAATTGTTTGATCTTCCTTTATCTCTTTGGTTCTTGTTACTGCTAAGAGACTGTTAAGATATGCAGTTCAGGAGACAAAACTAATTAGCTATCCTTTGTAATTGCCAATCGCAAATACACCTTAATTTGCACGTTTTCTTAAGACCAAGTAAAATGTACAAAGCAAATGTGTCTCCACGTATGATTTGTTTGGGGAGGGGAGATTGAGCAGAATGGGTTGAGTTAATAAAAAAAGTGTCAGAAATAGTAATTAGACATCTCAAAGTGTTTCGCAGAATACACTGTAAAGTGAATCAACTGTATATTTTGTGGGCGAAATGCTGCAGCCAATTGCGCACAGCAGTGTCCCACAAACAGTCGTGCATTGAGTGACCAAATTATTATGATTATTTTTGAAAGAATTATTACCCTGAAAAAGTGATCTGCCAATCAATTAATAACTGGGTTCCCACCTACTGCTAGGGAAACAGAGGTGTGTGGAGTAAGGAAACTTGCCCAACATTTCACCCTACTGGGCATCAAACCCAGGTCTCTCGCTTGTGAGGCGAGTGCTCTAACCACTGAGCTGCGTATGGAAGATTAATGAACATTAAGCTCATATTCATGGCCATAGGGATTTGCAATATATTTTCCCAATAAATATTGTATTGAATTCAGATCAATATTAATCCCTGTTGTGCTTGATCTCTAGAATTCAAAAAAAACCTCTGGACTTCAATCCTAATATTGCATAGTCCAGAATACTGTACGTGGCAAAGGCTGCCCACTTCGTCTCTGACATCCTGGTTGTTGGTCCATTGACGGATCGCTTTTCCGGGGATAATAATTCCTTCAAAAAAAAAACATTGGTCACAAAATATACAGTCAATTCACTTTACAGTATATTCTGTAAATCACTTTTGAGACGTCTCGAAAACGTGATAAGGAACTATATCAAATGCAAGGATTGTTATTATTATACATCAAGAACATAGGGACTCAATAATAACGCCATACTGGGCTCTAATAAATGCAGATTTAACATATTTGGAATGTGCTTATTTTGCTGTTGGTTAGAATTTTCCTTTTGTTTACAAAAGGTCAGCATTTTTATTCATACTTCCCTTTTAAGCAAGATATAAATTTTAAGCACAATGTTGCCAGATTGTTCATGGTACCCTAAGTGTATTGCATGCACATTTGATACTGCAGCATAATTGCTATTGAAGAGAATATATCAGCATTCATTATTTTGGAGTATAAACATTGGCTGAGAGTGTTGCAAACTGTCACATACTTGAGTAATTCAGCAGGCATGATAATTGTTAGCGATGTTCAAGAGGTTTCTGAATCACTTGACCTAATGACTGTTGCGTGCCAAGCAGAGTATACATTTTTTTGAATATTGTTCTGAAGTAGTAGTGTGAAAACAAAGCTTTTTAGCTACTGAACTAGTGTTCAAGATAATAATAATAAACCTTGCGTTTGATATAACGCTTTTCACGTCTTCTAGACGTCTCAAAGCGCTTCACAAAATATAGGGTTACAGAATATACTGTAAAGTGAATTGACTGTATATTTGTGGGTGAAATGCGGCAGCCAATTGCACACAGCAGTGTCCCACAAACAGTTATGGATTGAGTGACCAAATTATTATTGTTTTTTTTGAGGGATTATTATCCCCGGAATAGCGATTCGCCAATTGACTAACAACCGGCTTCCTAGTTATTGCTAGGTAAACAGAGGCGTGTGGAGTAAGGAAACTTGCTCAACATTTAGCCCTGCTGGGAATAGAATCCAGGTCTCTCGCTTGCAAGGTGAGTGCTCTAACCACTGAGCTACAGGACTACACCGATGACCAAAGTTGACTGCAGTATTGCCTTTTGTCTGATCCCTTCACATTTCACAAAGCCCAGACAACTTTACTGAATTTTTGTTCTTAGACATTCTGCCTTCCACACATGTTCCATTGTTAATGTTTCTGAAGAACATATAATGCACAGTTTGTTTTCTGTTCTTGTTAAAACTGACGTTTGGTACAATAACTTCTCAAATCCTTTGACAACATTTTGTCCCTGGAGGAACACTTCAAGTTATTTCTCTTCGTTCAAATATGTTAGATATCAAAATAAAGTGCCGGGGAACCAAGGTCTGGTTTCTACTGTCTAATTGTGCACATCTTTCAAATTAATTTGAATGTTTGGTTACAATAATCCAGTGCTAACAGCATTCATTTTGAACAAAATCCATTTTATATGAAATGAAAGACTAATTTTTAGCAAAAAGGAAGTTTGTTCTTTGTGATATAATAATAATGGCATTTAATATAGCGCCAGTTCACATCTTCAAGACGTATCAAAGCGCCTCACAGAATATACTGTAAAGTGAATTGACGTTAAGTGATAGAAGCCCCTAATCAATTACTTTTTTTCTGTTAAGTATATTCACTGGATATATTCTCACTGTCCAGCGTCTTGGGATGTCCTCCCGACGTGAAAGTCGCTATACAAATGTAATTTTGTTGTTGTTGTTGTATGAACTTTAAAGTCCCCAATGTGGGCCTTGAACCCACAGTTTTCTGACTGCCACAACAAGACTGCTGTCAACAGAGCTAGGCTGACACTTAAATTATATAGAATTATATGAGAAGTTACAACATAAAAATGTCCCACCTGGCCCATCTAGTCCGTGCCAATGTTTAAATTGCACGTCAGCCTCTTCTTCGTCAGTCTGCATTTAATCAAATTTACTCCACTTTCCAACTCCAATTATATCAATTTCCAATTGGTATAAATATGGCATTTTACAATATCTATCTGTGCGACCTCCATGGAATTCAGCAAATATAGCAAGATCAATATTGGATTTTCACAAAATTGAAATGACCATTCCAACATTGTGCAACTGACAATATTTGAGCTGCATAATCTGTAGCAGAAATTCTTGGAATAAGATGACAATTGTTTTTGTAATGTAATCAAGCTAATGTTTATGTTTCCCATAAAGAACTCCAAAT